GGTGGCCCTGGGAGCTGTGTAAGAAGGCACCTACCTGAGAAGGAAGAATCTGGAACAAGGCAGAGCTGACTAAGGCTCAGAAGAGCAATGTGCCGGGACAAGGCAGGGGCATCCTCTGGGACTCCCCCAAATGCCATTCTTCTTACAGTTGCTTCCTGCCAACTGTTTCTCACATGGACCAAGACCCCTCGCCTCTCTGCCTTTGCACACTGTCCCGTCTGGCCCTTCTAAACTCACCCCCAGCATTCCCTCCTTCAGGAACTTTCCCTGACTGACCCTGGTCTGACTTGGGCCCTGGACTCCTACAGTCCCCCTTGTCTACCGTGAAATTCCTTGAGGAAGGGCTGCATCTTGTTCACCGCGGTATCCTCGGTGCTAGCACACAGTAGGTGGCCAATTAATGTATGAACATAGGAGGAATGGTTCATCAGTCAGAACTGTGTTAAGCTACAAATGTGAAAATCTGACTATAGCGGCTTAAACAAAATGAGGTTTTATGTTTTTCAAGGAACAGGAAAGCAGGCAGCTGCTGTCAAGAGCTCAGCAACTCAGTGTCTTTGCCTTTGCTTTGGCTTTTCCTCATGGTCACAAGATGGCCACTGAAGCTCCTGATGTCACATTCATGTTCAAGGAAGAAAGGAGAGGCAAGACAGCACCAGCACTGTTGGCCTCTTTTGTCAGGAGAAGCAAACCCTTGCCAGGACCATAGCCAACTTCTACTCACTTTTCTTTGGCCAAAACTGGGTTACATGGCCACCCTCAGCTACAAGAGAGGCTGGGAAAACAAGTATCTAATTGAGCTGGAAGAACAAAATTGCAGCTTTATTAGCAAGAAAGAAGCCAGGGGTGATAGGGGGAGAAGGATTCAGGGCTTCAGGGGAAGGAAGGCGAGTACTGGTTAGACAGCCAGCGTAGGGCTTCATGGAGGTGGTGTTTGCGCTGTGCCTGGAAAGTCATGCAATTTTGACAACAGGGAAGAATGGCCTAGATCTGGAGGCCTGAAAATGCTGAGTGTGACCGGGGCTGCCATGTGACCAAGACAGCTAGAGCAGGAAAGAGGTAGGACCAGCTTGGCCAACTATTGATGTGTTTGGCAACAGCCTAGCAGCTCTTTATGCCTTATGGCTCTAAATCTCTTCCTCTGCTCCTGAAATTTCACCCTTAAAGATGATCTCAGTCAATGAGCATGCCCTGGACACCTGCTACGTACAGGCTTTTTCAAAATGCAGATACGCCCTGGAAGCTTGTGGTCGTCGGTCATTCGTACCTGGATATCAGTCCATTTTATTGGCTAGTGACCTCCTAAAGCTTAGCTGAATTCTGCTCTGAAAAATGGGGATTTTTATTCTAGAAAGGCGTGATGGGGCCTGGAGCCTGGGGCCTAGGAGATGGGGGTGGAGACTGCGTGTCCAAGGGGAGTAGGTCTGTAGAAGAAGGAACTCTTGCTCACTGAGCCCTGCTACGGGCAGGCGCTGGCCATCTTTCTCTTCTAAAGTGCCACCATCACCAGTTCACAGCTGAGGAAGCTAACGCCTAGAGAAGGGGACTGCCCTGCCTGAGGTCATCTCCTGCACAACTGATGGAACCAGGGTTGGACCCTGGTCAGTCTGACCCCAGAGCACAAGCTGTCGTCTTCCCACCCCTATCATAATAATGACCATCATCTCAGACGGTAGTTTATTCAACCCTTGCTCTATGCCAAGCACTGTTCTAAGTGCTTGATGGGTTTTAACTCATGCCATTTTCACAATATTATGAGGGAAGCACTATTATTGCCCCCATTTTACAGAAGAGGAACTTGAGGCGCAGCAAGAGGGTAACTGACTTGCCCAAGCTCCCACAGCTGGAAGTGTCATTTAGGATTCACACCCAGGTGGTCCATCTCTGAGGCACAGGGAAGGATGCTGCCTTACCAAGGTCTTGTGGTGGATTAAGAATAGATTATCTGCTAAAAACAAACAAACAAACAAGTCACAGATGCAGAGAATGGATTTGTGGTTGCCAGAATTTGAGGGTGGGCGATATGAGTGAAAATGTTCAAAAGATAACAAACTTTCAATTGTAAAACAAATAAGTCCCGGGGAGGGAATGTGCAGCCTGGTATCCATCGTTAGTAACACTGTGCTGTATATTTGAAAGTTGCTAGGAGAGTAGATCTTAAAAGTTCTCATCACAAGAAAAAAAATTTGTAACTATATGTGGTAAACAGATGCTAACTAGCCTCACTGTGGTGATCATTTTGCAATGTATATAAATGTTGAGTCATTATATTGTACACCTGGAACTAATGTGTTATATGACCGTTATACTGCAATAAAATTTTTAAATTAAATCTTAAAACTTTTTGAAGTATAGGTTCTCTAGACCAGGGGTTCTCAAGTAGGAGAGACTTTTGTCCCCAGGGGTCACTTGGCAACGTCTGGAGACGTTTTTGATTGTCACAATGCCTAGGGAGGGTGGCTGCCTGCATCTAGCGGGGAGGATGCTAAACACCTCGCAGCGCAGCGTCTACGCCGGCAGAGCCGTAGGTCTCCAGCGCGAGTTGGAACCCAGGTCTTAACTAGTTAGAGAGCAGGGAATCTACCTCCTCTCAGAGCTGAGGCTTTAGACTCAGAGCTGGGGGAAGAACTGGGGGCTTCAGAATGAAGCCTGCACAGCTTGGCTTTGGTGTTGGACCAGAGACCAAATCCCGGGGCTCACGTAAGAGAGAAGCTCATTTCCTGATCTTGTCACCCACTAGAGGCAGGTCCAGGTGAACAGGCTTGCGGTGCTGGGGTGGGGGTTTCCTTTGCCTCTTTGCTCAGGGATTCCCTGGGGTGTTGGCTTGGCTTGCCAGTGTCTGGGTTCCAGTGTACCAAAAGCAGGAAAGAGGAAGCAGGAGGCACAGAGTATATGCCCAGAGCTGGAACCAGGTTACCACGCAGGAGAGCTGATGGCTGAATCTTTAGGAATTTTGGGAGCTGGTCATTAAACACAGCCATTATTAAATTAAATTCTATAGGTATATAATTCACTAAATTATATTAAAAACAAGGTTCGTAAGTACTCGAAATGTGTCGCTTCCTAATTTATTTGACTACATTCTGCTGTTACCTGGGCCCTGGGATTTTCACAGCTGTTTTGTCTGCATCGTGGAAACACTGCCTCATGCTCTGTCCCACTGCCCGTCTCTTCCCGACTGCGCTCAGTGACCTCACATCGGTACCAGTCACGGTGGGAGTCTTTATATCACAGAAATCCGTAAACTCTACAAATCAGAGCTTGATGGTTCACTTTGATGAGTCTCTAAATTTAAGAAAGTGACCAAGCAAATGTTAATAATGCTGATTTAACTAAAACCTGTAGGAGGTACATTACACCTGTTGCCATTTCATTGTGAACAGCATGAGAAGCTGACAAAGTGTTCTTCCAGAATTGGTCAACTGTGACTCGATTCAGCCAAGAAGTTGCTCACGTGACTGACAAACTATGGCCACAGAGGCCTTTGTTGTTTTCCTTTCCTCTTACTCGTTAACGTGAAGGGAAACACCAGCCAACTTTCACTTGGGATGCACTCTTGTTCATCAGTGATGTGAGCGACTTCTTTGCTGAATTTGGTAATAATCGAGCATTTATTTGTAGTTTGATTTCATGACACTCTTGTTGATGATAGATATATGAAAACTGACGGTAGACTTTGCAAGAAATTCCAAGTCACACTGAAGTTATAGGAGGATGAAATTCACAATAAAGAGCACTGTACTGGGGGGAGGGCACAGCTCAGCAGCAGAGCACATGCCTAGCAGGCATGAGGTCCTGGGTTCAATCCCCAGGACCTCCATTAAATAAATAAACCTAGTTACCTCCCCCTCCAAAAAAAAAAAGAGTACTGTATTTTGGTTATTTGTAAACTGTGTGCTATACATTCTTTGCATCAGTAAAATTAATAACAAAAATATGTACGTGCATATGTGTGTGTGTATATACTTTCCCCCCTAGAACCATAAAACATCCATTAAACAGAATATGGGTTCTGGGGCCCCAGCTCGTGCAAGTCACTTCATCTCTTTGAGCCTCAGTTTCCTCCTCTCTAAAATGGGGATAATAAAACTTACCTCACAAGGTTCTCGTGAGAGTCAAATAGACAATCTTTTGTTGTCTCGTTTTGTTGCCTAGAAACTACAATTTGTTGGAAGTTTTGTTGCCTAGAAACTACAATTCAGATGTGTGGAGTAATTAATCCCAATCCCCACCAGACTGGTTTGTGATCAGGCTCAGGTGGAGTTACAGACACAAAAGCACTTTGTAAAACTATTAAGTACTGTACTGGTACGAGATGGCATGTTACATTTTTAAGTAATGGAAAATTATTGTTATTATAACAAAAGCAATACTATTAAAAAATTAGAAAATGCAAAGTAAAAATAAGAAACTAAAGATATCCACAATGCTACCACCCACAGATAACCACTATTTATATTTTAATACAGTTCCAACAATTATTAGCTCGTGGACATATTTGTTCTGTTTGGACCCCTACCTATGCCCTCCAACTCCCTTATTCAAATAAAATTATTTTGAAGCATGTCCCAGACATCATATAATTTCGTCATAAATATTTCAGTATTTAGCCCTAAATTTAAGGATACTTTAAATAAATATAATGTCAATATAAATATCACACCTAAAAAATTAATTCTCTAATGGAGGCTGTTGATAACAGGGGAGGCAATGCATATTTAGAAACAGGGGGTATATGGTCAATCTTTGTACCTTGCACTCAATTTTGCTGTGAACCTAAAACTGCTCTAAAAACTAAAGTCTACTTTTTAAAAAGTTCTTAATAATATCAAAAGATGATCATTATTCACATTTCCCTACTTGTGTATTTCTTTTAATGTAAATTGTTCTTCTTATGTCTTTGAATATTGGGTGTTTTTCTTATTTATTTGCCAAGCTCTTTATATATTAAGGATGTCAACTAAGTTGATATTAATTACTAACTATTGTTATTCCTCCAG